TTTTTTATTGCATGATTGTTACTTTATTTATTTTGTATAGAAGAACTAGGATGTGGGCCAGAGGTATGGTGTTGAGGTGAGAGAATTCTTGAGAGACAGAGGGGGGAGCACAACAGGTGGATCTACTGAAATACACCGGTGAGGGGAGCAGTAGGTGAAGCCAGAGAGGTCTGCTGTGCCATGTGGGAGCGCTCCCAGGCCGGAGACCGAACTCAGCATCACAGGCCATCACCGAGACTTAGCCCTACGCCAGCAGTGAGGCCCCACTATGCTGTCATACTCTTTGGTAAATACCTCGCAGAGGTATGCTGGCTCAGGTGGTATTCCCACTTTCTGTGTGCTGTCAGCATAGCTATCCTTCATTAACAGTAGGGAGTGTGTGTTTGCACACACAGGGCCGTAGCAGCAAATGAGCATTTAGCCAAGTACATGAGCCTCTATCTGAAATTGCAACATCTCAAAATTCCGAAATGAGAACTATACTTTTTTTTCCTTTAGTAAGTCATTTGCAGCAAAACCTAACTTTAATCTGATGTCTTTTGGCAACAAAACCTATCCTAAAGTCTTGCTAATCAACTCATAGTCTTTGTTTACCATGTTTGTTACGAATATTTATACTCTTTGTTATAGAGTAATTAATATTTTTATTATGGGTACACACAGATCACTTTGATGGAACTTAATATAGTATACAGATGGTGTTATTTTTCTAAAAATCCACAAAATTCCTAGTTCTAAAAAAATAAAATCTGACCCAAGAATCATAGCACAACAAGGTATTATGAACTTCCGTTATAGTTAGGATATATATACTCTCCCAAGGTTGGTATAAGAAATCCTGGTCTTTAACCCTTGCCTAAAAGCCAACTAAAATTAATTTCACCAGGTCTTCATCCTTTCTAGATTCATTTCAGTTTTATAGTTCCACCAAGTTACTTAGATTCTAAGACATTGTATTTTAAGTTTATTACTGAAGAGTTGTTTATACAACAATGGGCACATTTTAGACTTAGAGAGTGAACAATTTTGAGGAAGTAAGAGCAAAAGCAAGGAGATTGGGCCAGTGTGACTTACTTGCTTGACAACAAGGGTTGGAGTGAAAGGAAATGGAAAACATGAAGTAATTTGAAAGAAACATAAGGTGAAGTTTGGTGAGGGATAGGAGATAAAAACCAGGGAAGAAAGAATTTGAAAGTTAAGACCAAGATTCTTGACTGGGGAGGATGGCCATTGGACAAAGGTGGAGAGTGTGGTGGAGCCGGATCATGCGCTTCTCTGGCTTGTGCAGAGTTGATGTGTGTTCTTTGTGATAGAATGGGAAGCTGGTGCGCCTCATCCAGAGAGCACCTGCTTGGTAAAAAGGTGTTTGCCATAGAATTGGGAACTGGGGATCTGCTTTTCCTTCAACTGATCTGTTACAACCTGAGCCTTTCAATATGGTATTCAAAGAAAAGGATTTTTTTTCATACAGTATAACCCAGTTACTTACTCTAGTGTTAAATGAGAAAAACAAAACAAACAAACAAAACAAAAGTTATCACTTGCTGTGTTGGAAAAAAGTCAGATTCTATACAATTTTTACCCTAGAGTCTGATGTTAGACCTAAATATGCAACTCAGAAAAACTGACATGGGAAAAAATGTCCTTTAGTATGCCTTGGGTTAAGAATAATAGAAAACTCAACTCATATTAGCTCAAAACAGTAAAAGGAAAGGATTATTTTGTGTAATTTGTAAGTCCAAATAGAAGATGGGTTTCAGGTAAGTTGTAATCTCATGGAATTGTTATATTACCAATGTCCTTTCTAATTCTCTGTCAGTCTGCTTTTCACTGTGTCACCTTCATCCTGAAGCTGGCTTCCATTTACAAGCTGGCTGTCAGCCCCAGTCAGGTCTGGGCTTTTATCCATGTCCAGTGTGAGACACTTAGCTTCCCTAGACAGTCAGAAAGGCCTGCGTTTCCTCGGGTTAGCACTTCTTCAGTCACATAATCATGCCTGACCCACTACAGGGAGGGTGGAATGGGGTTATACTGTTTGCCATGAATCAATCAAGGCCTACCCCCAGATCTGGAGCTCAGGTCACTGTCCCCAAAACATACTTCTAGGTCCAGGATCCTCTTAGAAAGGAGAAGATCAAAGTTGATGCTGAAGAGGCAGCTAACAATGTTACTTTCAGAAACCCACTAAACAAGGAAGATGAGGGGGTTAGCGGAAGCCGTGCATTTACTCAACTGCTGCTCTGGGCTAACCCTGTGGCAGGTTCAGGGACATAAAAATGAGTAAGAGATGGAGGCCTTTTTTTTTTTTTTACATCTAGTGGGAGAGACAGACACATAAACATTGTGACAAAGAGCAAAACAGTACAAAATTCTGGGAAGCAAATCATGGAGCAAATAACTGCATATAACTGTACCTCTGACATAGTTTTCAGACTTAAGGTTGTTTGGTTTAACTGTTGCTAACAAGAGTGAGGAACCTCAGATCAGACTGCATGGATTGGGAATCCTTAGGGCCTCAAAAATGTTCTAGGCCTTAGGGCTTGAGGAAATGATCTGAGCTGCGTGAGAAAACTCTTTGACTCGGTGTTGTCTACTGGGGTTGTACAAGTCACTGTTTATTTGAAAGAGTTCCCCTGATAAATGAATGTAAATCACTGACATAACACACTCCCTTCACTTTGCCATTAAAAAAAGAGAGAATAAAATATTTGCAAATATCTGTCATCACATCTAACTAAATGCTGAATCAAAACAAGAATTCAGAGCTCCTGCCTTTCAAAACAGAATTCATTTTATTGATTCACTACCAAACTTTGAGGAAGAAAATTGAAGACCAGTTAGTGATAAGAGTTGGAGAGGAAGCAAATCTTCCTCTCTCCTTCTAGGCCCTCACAGCTGGAAAATAATTAAATTGACAGAAGACAAATTAACAGAGGGGAAAAATGACCAAATTTAATTTCATGTGTGTGCATGGAGATACTGTTATGAAAATAAGACTTCCTGAATGACTGAAATGGCCGACTTACATAGCTTTTAGGTAAAGAAGTAATAAACTTTTGAAGAACAGACAGGACAAAGATATTCTTAAAATTTTGTTTTGGACAGCTTATTTAGAGAGTTACGCAGCATTTGTTTACATAGCTTCCTGTCCCAGTCTCTGATAAGCCTCTATATCTTTGAGTGGAGATTCATTTCCTGTGTTCAGGGAATAGACAGGATGAGGAATCAGAGCAAATTCCTGCTTTTAGAAGAATGGGAATCATTCATTAATTATCTATTTCTTTCTTTTTTAAAAAAAAAAGTATGTGTGCAGAACTGGGGTACAGGCCAGAGATGATGTGGGGGTGGTGAGAGGTTCACCAGAGACAGAGTGGGGAGCAGAACAGGCAGATTGATGAGGCAGCAGGCGGGTCAGGAGAGGTCTGCCACACCATGTGGGACACCACCTTAGCCAGGAATTGAACTTGTCCTGCAGTGGCTGCATCTAGCTCATAGTGCTGCGCTTTGAACCAGTTGTGCCACCAGGGAGGGCCCCATTATTTATTTCTTTAATTCAAAATAATATGTCACTTTTGTACATCATGGGGCAGCTTCTTCTGTGAAACTGCCCAGGAAATTTCACATTAAAAACAGCTGGTGAAGAGAAGCATTGGGTTAGTAGTAGAGTGCTAAGAGATCTGCAGAGAGCAACCCCACCTAGCCGAAGCCCACTGATACAAGTATCTAAAGAAATAAGGTGGGTAGGGGTGAACTTCAAGAAGTTTATGGGTAGGGAATGTCTTTTGTGTCCCTTCCTCCTTGAATGTAACAGAAATACAGAAAATTGTCTTCCATCCAAGCTGAAGACCAGAAGAGTAAGTTAGAAATGACCTGACTGGGCCCTCCCTGGTGGCACAATGGGTTAAAACACAACACTGCAAGCTGGCCGCAGCCACTTCAATGCAAGTTCCATCCCAGCCCCGGAGATGACCCACATGGCGTGTAGACCTCTCCTGATCCACCCGCTGCTCCCCTCAGCAGTCTACTTTTCTCATTCTGCCTGTTCCACTCCCGACTCTGTCTCTGGTGAAGCCTCTCACAGCCCTGCACCTCTGGCTTGTACCCCAATTCTGTATGAATAAATAAATAAACCAAAAAGAAAAAAAAAAGAAATTACCAGACTGGCATAAGGGATGCCCAGAAGTGGACACAACCAGTGTAAGCAAACTATTTTTTCTCTTCTTGCCCCAGTGCCTGATGGCAGGGTGGAAAGAACCTTAGAAATGAAGCCTCAGCTCTTGCCCAGACACCAGAGAGAATTTGCACAGGGAAAAGGAAGGTCAGGGGAGTCTACTCCAAGGGAAGATGAAGGTGCTGCTGAATCTATGAACCCCAGTTCAACCAAACCCATGCAAGGTGGAAGACATCCACTCTGAGAGCGGTCTGCTTCATCAGAATCCACTTAGTAAATCAATAGGTCCACTCCTGACACAAACCATCCCTGCATTTATTCTCTCTGGATGTGGAAATATAGCATTTGCTATGTACAGTTGTCCAAAGGAACCATTTCCCCAATTTTTTTCACTGAATCTTAACTTTATAGTCTAGTCCCTAGACCTTGGTAAAACCTCAGCCACTGTGAGGCATTACTAGGACCTTTCAACTACTCTCCCAGATGCAGGGTCTTCTGAGGCCACTGTTTTAAAAAACAAAACAAAGCATCAATTCACCCTCTGGATGAGAGAGATCAGTTGCAATGCAATTTGCTTTAATTGCTCTTCCTTAAGTGTCTTTCTTTCTTCCTCTCCCCATCTTTTTTTTTTTTTTCCTCTCTCTCCTTCTTCATCAATTCCCTTTCCTTGTCCTAAGCCCTGCTAGTCTTAGACTCCACTGGGACATGTGTGGAATGGGGTCAGAGTGCCAACCCACAGAAACACAGAGAAAGCAGAAGGGCACATCTCTTGTCCAGACCCCTGGCCTGCCAACCTGACTACCTTCCTTATCCCACTCAAACCTCCTAGGATGGACATCACCCGTCTGCTCCTGGCCACTCTGCTCATCTGGATGTGCTTCCTCACAGCCTGCAGCCACCTGGCACCGGAGGAGAAGCCCAGAGATGACAGGAGCCTGAGGAGCAACTCCTCCATGAACTTGTTGGATTTCCCTTCTGTCTCCATTGTGGGTAAGTAGCCTGGCCTGAGGCCTACCTCTGGGCTCTAGCCCATGATAAGGGGTGGCAGGAAAGCAAATCTGCCCCCTAGGCTGATACCAGGATTCATTGTTATAGTTATGGGCTCCTCCTTGCTCATTCTGCAAAATAATCCTGGAGGAATACAGCATGACTCATTTGATTTGGGAAAGCACTGCCTGCCACCACCTGATACTTGGCTAGCATTTTAGAAGCTCCGAGAAAGCCCAAAATGAAGACACTGGTGAACTTGGTTTAACTTAGCGTTTTCTGAAACTTGTTGAATCACAGAACTTCTCTCAATGGTATCAAACTTCCTGTCATGCTGCAGAATAGAACTAAGTGTGGGATGATGAACCAGTCCTGTCATGCCAAGGTTGAGAATGATTACACAGAAAAATATCAGGAGCATTAGAGCCTTATTGATAATAGTAATTCCAGATAATACTTATCATGTGCTAGGCACTATGAAATGAACATTATTTTTATTCACATTTTGCAACTGAGGAAATTGAGAGTTATGAAAGGCAATAATTAACATAATACCACACAGTTCTTAAATGGCAGAGCCAGAATTGAAACCCAGGTGTTTAGGCTCCAGAACCCAAGTTCAAAACTAATATCCTTTACTACTTTGCCTAGAAAAATATTCTAGATATATTGGGAAGTAAGGACAGGGAAGGAGATGGGATATATCAACCTTGATCACTTCTAGTTTGCCAGATTTCCACTTTATAGTCATACCTCATTTATCCTCAAAGCAACCCTGTTAAGATAGGTTTTACAGTACCCTATTTGCAGATGAGAAAACTGAGTCTTAATGGTAGTAAAGTTACCCAACACCATATAGCTGTTCTATGACAAGATCAACATAGAAATTGGGTGTACCTGCCTCCAGAGTGCTTCAGAAATGGAAAATAGGAGTACAGAAAACACAGGTCCATCCATGTAGGAGACACTGATTCCTTGTTCAGCGTGTCACAGTGTTCTTGGCCTGTCAGACTAGGCACTAAAGAAAGGACACCTGGGATGAATTTTGATAACAGCATCACTTAGGTCAAAGAACCAGGCCCCTTGTGCATGCCACAGGCAGACCCCAGGGTCTCCTTTGATTTACCCTTTGCCTTTAGTATCTGATTTCAGATCAGCAGTCAGGCTAACAGGAACCTGCTGGCCTAAACCTCAAGCTGTGATTCATGTAGTCAGCCCCTCCTACTCTCCCTTATCCTGGGACTTCCCAGAGCCCTTCTGTGCCTCCCACTTTGCTGCATCTCAGGACCCCAGAAACATCTGGCTTTGGACTTTTTGTCTCTCTTTGAAGCTCTGAACAAGAAATCTGAAAAGATCAGCAGAAAAGAAGCAGAAAAGAAATCTTCCAAGGTAGGCCTGGGAGTTCTCATTATTGGGTTGGAAATAGAAAACAGGAGGACCCCAATTTTTGGCTCACAACTAAATGAAAGATTTTCCAGGTCAACAACAACAAAATAAATAAATAAAGCTATCTAAAGGCATCCTGGCCTGGATCCCTGAGCCCAGACCCCATAGAAGCCCAAAGTGATGGGGTTCACGAGCAAAACAGCTTACCTGCTGAAAAGTGCCTTCCTCTACTAGCTAGGCCCCTGCTTGAAATCTCTCCATCATTCATTCTTTTGGATGAATACAGTGATTCCTAAACCTAAGTCATTTTTGAACCATTGTTACAATTTTTGCTATCTAATAGTAAATAAATTAAAACTTTCTATATATATATATATTTTTAAGATTTATTTATTTATGCATACGGAACTGGGGTACAGGCCAGAGGTACAGGGGCGGTGAAAAGATTCACCAGAGACAGAGTGGGGAGCAGAACAGGCTGACTGATGAAGTACACTGCTGAGGGGAGCAGCAGGCAAGACAGGAGAGGTCTGCCACACCATGTGGGTCACCTCAGGGCAGGATGGAACTCATGCTAAAGTGGTTTTAGCTTTAGTGCTGTGCTTTAATCCGCTGCACCACCAGGGAGGGCCATCTCTATATATATTTAACTGGATAGAAAAATCAGGATCACAGCTGTAAATAGTATGTAACCTTAAGAGTAAAATGAAAATTAAACAAATGAATTCTAGCTCATGTTGCCTTTCAAAGGTTCTAAATCTGAGGCTTATTCTGTGCTTTAAGAGGCAGATTAGAATAAATTGGGGAGGCTTTACTGGAGTGTGTGTGGGAGAATGGCAAAAATAATGTTTAAAGTTTATGTTTCATTTTAAGGGCAAAGAGCTTTGGCCATGGGAGGCACTTTAAACCCAATTAGGATGTCATCACTGGGCTTCAGAGAGGTCCCAGGGGCACTGAAGGACGTACTGAAAAGGTGCCAGACCAGATTAGGTCCCAGGATGGCCGTGATAGTGAAGTATGTGATGTGAGCCAGGATCTGGCAGTCGCTGGAAAGGGGAAGACACAGATGGTAGTTAAAACGGGGTTGAAACTGACACTTTCTTACATTATGGGAATTCAGCCTGTGTTTATCCTAATCACTACCCTGTGCCTTCCTCTACTCACTAGCCTCCAGTTTCTTTGAAATAGCTTTTGAAAATAATTAAAATACAAACAACTTGTATTTTCAAGTTGTGAGATTTCCCTAGGAAAAGGAGAGGGCCCGGCCCGAAGCCAAATACGTTTCGACGGGGATGGGAGTGGGGGATTTGGGGGTGAAGGGGCAAGATTGTAGTGCAGGAGGGAACACTGGGGTGTCCGGTGGACAAGTCAAAAACAGCGGGTTGGGGGTGTCGGGACCTAGAAAATTCAGGAGTTCGTTCCCAGGCAGAGGTGAGGGCAGGTGGGACGGGTTTGGATGGCTCAAGCTGCCCCGGTGTGTCCCCGCAGAAAAAGGCCGCAATGAAGAAAGGGGCGCGACCCCGGCCCCAGGCGCCCGCCGCCTGCGTGGCCACCCGCGACAGCTGCAAGCCGCCGTCGCCCGCCTGCTGCGACCCCTGCGCCTACTGCCAGTGCCGTTTCTTCCGCAGCGTCTGCTCCTGCCGAGTGCTCAGCCCCAACTGCTGAGCGCGCCCGCCTTCCCGCCGCGGGGCCCCAAGAGGCGGGGCTTCCAGGGGCTCCTAGGGGACCGAGAGGCCCCAGCCGGGTGGCTGACCTCTAGTGGGTGTGGCTTCCTCGGACGCTGGTGGGCGTGGCTACAGGTATCGAGGCGGGGCTCCGCGGAGAGGGCTTGGGTTAGGCTAAAATGTAAATATATGAAGGCTGCTTGAAGGTAACGTGTTGTGGCTGTTTCTTTAAAGAACATGAAAGTCTTCTCTAGGCCGAAGCCCCGTCACCGCCGAAGTCCTTTGGTGCAAGCACTACTCACCAGGGCCTGGGGAAACCCAGTTATCCCTGCTCTAGGGCTGCACTCCTGGTAAGCACTGTCACATGCTTTCTACCTTCACACCTGGGCGCCAAAAGCAGGCATTGCAGATGAGTCAGACAGAAGCTACTAAGGAATCACCATTCAATCCTCACCCCTCCTTCCCCTCTTGAGTTCTGGAAAAAACAAGATTACAACTTCATACACAATCTCACCTGGTTGTCAATCCTGGGGGTGAGAGGGATACCAGTAGAAAAACTGGGGTGGCTGGTTGTGACTAGGTGTTGCTGTAGGTCCCTATAACCAGAGAATCTGGCCTGAGGAGATCAGGGCCTTAGAAAGCTCCCAAATACTGAAGCCACTGCTGGACCTGGGAGAGGTTCTCCAACTCCCAGGCTAAATAAACACTGACTTTTTGTCCCCAAGCGTTTTTTTCAGTTGGGACAATTGGGTTTGCAGGGATTCAGAAACCCTTCATTTACCAGTCCAGCTCTGCCAGCCAATAAGGAGGCAGTGGGCATGGGCTTGGTGAGTAGGCCCTGGATTATCAGGGACCTGTTGCCTGAAATTTCATCCTGAGCGCGTCTGTGCCGGGTGCAGTACTCTATCTCTGGAGGGACCCTGAGAGGGGGACACCTAATATATTGCTACGGAATGAGAAGAGAGAGTAGGGCCTGTGAGAAAGGACCAACCAGGGTGGTGGAGTCACACTGAAATTTCCAGTGCCCTGAGTGTCGAGGGCTTCGAATGACATCTGTTTGCACTGCTTGGCTGGGGCAACCTGCCAGCAAGGAGACTGGATGAGATGCCATCTGCCAGTGTCCCCCACACCTTTCAGCAGCTGGGATCTGCCCCTGCCCCAAGGAGTTACTGTGAGAAAGAAGTTGCAAACCGTGTTATTATAAGAAAATATTTAAAAAGCCTGTGCACAAGAAAAATACTAGCGAGAGGCTATAAGCAATTGCCTCAACCCTAGTATCTACCAAGTATTTCTATCCTTGGAGGTGAGGACAGTGGAGTTCAGAGGCCAGCACAGGTGGGTCCACTTCCTCTGGCCTACTTGGCCACTTGTAATCTATTTCAGATTCTTTAAAAAAAAAAAAAAAAGATTTATTTACGCATATAAGAACTGGAGTGCGGGCCAGAGGTGCAGGAGGGGGGTGAGAGGATTCACCAGAGATAGTAGGGAGAACAGGCAGATGAACTGCAATATACTGCTGAAAGAGCAGCAGGTGGGACAGGAGAGGTCTGCTGCGTCGTGTGGGTCAGCTCCACATGAACTCGTCCTGCAGTGGCTGTAGATAGCTTCATAGTGCAGCATCTTAAACCCTTGTACCACCAGAGGACCCCCACCCCCACCCCACCTCTTTCAAGTTCTTAAAGCTGCCTCCTTTCCACAGAACTTCAATCAACCAGGTGTTGCCTAAAGGAAGTAGCCAGCATAGAATCAAGGAGGCAAAACCTGGACAGACCACAAGAAAAAAGATGGACACCCCAGGCTAGGCTGGACACAGTTCCTCAAACTAGGCAAGTCTTTGCATTCTCTTGGTTTCTGTTTACTTATCTATAGTGAAATAGTTCTCTGCTGTTGTTTATAAATCTCAGATGGTAGTTTTTCTTATGCCTCAAAAAGAAACACAGAGAGACTGCCAGTCTCTGTCATTTAGGTTGCAAGCCCTCAGGGCAAGACTTACCTTTTGTTCCTTGTACCACAGCTGCCACTGAGTAAATGTCATTGGTAATGGCAATATTGGAAACACTGCAACCATTTTGTGCTTTCCAGACATTGCCCACTAACCAGGAACCATTTGACTCCCAGGGGTGAAGCTGGGATGCAAAATCAAAGGCCCAGTTCCTTAGAGAATGAACCAGTTGGCTGCCAGGTGGAGACAATTACATGAAATAACCAATCCATGCATTCAGCAAAGATGTGCTGAGTGTCTGCTGTGTGCCAGGCAGTGTGCCAGGTACTGTGAATACTATGTAAATGGGCCCAGTATGGACCCTGCTTACAGAGCTTGTAGCCCAGTGGTCCAGTTTGCCCCTTGGAGAGGCAAGCACCTCTGTTAGCAGAGTGTCTATTTTTGTGTCTGTTGACTCAGCTACCTGGTAGGAGTGTATCTGCCCAGGATCCCTTTCAGTCTTAAGACTCCTCCATCTTTTCAGAATTCCCACAACCTCAGGGTCCTAAAGGCATGGTCCTGGGGGCCTACATCACCTGGCCGCTATGGTTTTTTCTTAGGATACTTCTAGCCCTGAAATTCTGCAACATAATATGAAGCAATGGTTTTCTTCTTTTAAAGAGAGGTGCATTTCCTCAGTTGACATCTTATTATGTAAGATTATATGTAACACATAGTATTACATATGTAATATATTATAACAGTTTTAAATTTGTTTTACTTTATAATGTTGACATTTGAAATCAGGGATTAGAGATTAGTATTTGCCCTCCTAAATCCGCCTCCATGACCAGTTTGTTTCCATCTTTTGTTCTGGTTGCATGATGCTGAGAAAGGTATAACTAACACAGAAAGGATGTTGCAAAGAGGTTTTTTTTAACAGCTATGACCGCAGAACAGTGTTCCATTAAACAGAAAGAGCAAGAGGCTTATTTCAAAATCTGGTCCAGACAGTGTCTAATGTGTTAAATTTTGATGCATAGCACTTATATATGTGTATGTTTTTACTCTTAAAACACTTCAATGTTTTAAAAGTAGAAACAGAAATTTATGCTTCTGCAGGAGCAGTATACTCCAAAAACTACTGCCCTGGGGGAGTAGCAGGGCCTTAGAGGTGCCTTACACCCCCCTCCTGAACTGTAGACAACAGACCAACCTAATTAGCAATCTCTGGGTCCTTATTCTAAATATGTACATCTGTTTGAACAACCTAACATCTAGGTCTCCACCCACTTTCAGGAAATTACCCCCAGTCAAACAATAGGAACTTTATAAAGGAATTTAATGCCAAGAGCAAATCCCCACGTGTGAAAGGAATCGGATAAATCAGGAAAGGAATTTGCTTTTAACTGAATTAGCCTAACCAGCTGTAGTAAATTTCAGATTAGTCTGGGATAAACTTGTTCCTTTCTTTTTCCTGCACCAAATACATTTATAGTATTGATGATGACAATAAAGACCATTATGCCTTGTTTGGGGAGCCCATTCCTTTGACTCCTGAAGGTCTTCACACCTTCCAGAGTTCCTCTATAGAATTTCTGAAACAATGGCTATATAGACTACCAGAGCAGTAATAAAGGCACAACCACTAGAAAGGTTAATCAACCTGGTGAGATCACATTTAAAAGCTGTAGGAAGAGCCGGTTCCTCCCCAAATCAAAAAGTACAACTTTGTCTCTTTGGGTTAATATCCATCAGGGGAAAGTTTAGTTTTGCATTCTTTTTCTCACTCTTTATCCCAGTGTCTATCAATATCTGGAATTCTGCATTATGTACACATGTGAGAGGCGGTGAGAGAACAGAGAGGGGCCCTAGGAAGGGAAGGCAGTGAGTGTAGCCCCTGGGGAGCTGGGGGAAAAAAGAAGGGAAACTAGATGAGAGGAAGGTGACAATGAATTCACTGATTGTGGAATCCAAGGCGGTCTTGTTTTCCCCATCTTAACTGATGTGGGAATTAGTTGATCTTCTGACAGAAACCCCCAGGAAGGCCATTCAGTACTGGAACACACCAAGTAATTCTCAGTGATTTCACTGGGGCCTAAATCATGGAGCACCCCCACTCCTTCAACCCTCTGGAGTGCCCTGAGAGGTGCTCCCACAACCTCCTCTCACAGTGCCTGTGGCTTGTCAACTGGCTTAAGGACACAGGGATGCTACTGACAGCCTGACGTCCTGTGGTCTGATCACTCTACAGTGACCAGTGTCTGAGCAGCTACTTCCGGCCAGGATAAAAGCCAACCTCCCTAATTTGTTTTTTTCTTTTTGTTTTCACATTTTACTTTATTTGCATGTATGTTTTACCATAAAATATTAAGTGCTATTTAATTTGCCATTAAATAAGTATATGCTGGCCACTGATGGCTTTAAAAAGTAAAGGTAGATTGCGTGGACCTGATTTGTAAGACTTTGTAGAAGTCTTGGGGGGGGGTATTGCTTTCAAACTGACATATTTAGGAGTATAACTGCACAGGGTCAGGAAGTAAAATATAAAATGGAAGAAAACCTGCTGAGGATGGAACTGAGGTCCTTGACTTTTAGATTTTAGACAAGCCAAGGAGTTTTAGACAAGCCAAGGAGTCAAGTGAATTACACTGGAATGGGATCTCAGGATTCTCCAGAGAAACAGCAGCAGCAACAGACTAAGGAATTTGGGCTTATTTCAACTTAGATCATGGGGCTGGCCAGTCTTGAGGGAGCAAGGCTGGCTGGAAAGACTTAGAAATTCATCTGTTAGATCTGGAAAAATCCAACCAGCAAGAAGTGCAAAGGCAAAGTTATAAGC